AGAGAGGAAAAAAGGAGAGAGAGCGGGGAGGAGAGGAGAGAGAAAGATAGGGAGGGGGAGAATCATTTTTCATTCTACATGTATATTCGCCATTAGCATTGAATAATTTTAATTATATTGTAAATATCTTATTGTATACTTAAGAAATAGAGTACGCGTTTTCGTGAATGTTGCAGAATAATTAACCTCCGAGGTCGAGAAATGTTGTTTCAAAGATAAAAGGCGAGGCTTTTATTTTCCAAACAACATTTCGAGTTTCTGCAATATATTAGTGTTTAAATTGCAAAACACGACACATCAATGTGGTCTAAATAAGTATTTCATTCATAAGTCAAATGAACATTTCAACTGGTTCGAAACGTGTTTTTGGTCGATAATTTTTTTATGACGTTCGTGATTTATTGGAGAATAAAGTCTGCGGCATTTCTTTGATATCGGCAATAATCGTAGTAGAATCGATGATATTTAATTTGTATCCGAAGATTGTTTATTTATTTCCTTTTGAAAAATTTCATTGCTCAAGATTAAACTTGTATCGTGTTGAAAATTAGCTACATGTTCCGGCTGCTCTTGAAAAACAAGCTTGGCTCCCATATGTACCTGTATTTGGTAACATGCAAGAGGACAGACATTTAGATGAAAATGGAACGCTGCCGGGTGGTAAAAAGATATGTCCTTATAGAAAAGTTGTTGAGAAAATAAATAATTTGATCTTAATTGGTAGTTCAGTCACCCAACCCCAAAAGAAATGGAGTTTTAAGGCTTTGCCAATGGAGTGGAAAGGGGGAAAATAAACAATCCCTCGGATACAATACAATTTCGAATACAAATGGGAAATGATACAATCCAAGCAAGAATTTATTCAATATAAAGCAAGGAATTATATAATAATGTCAATTAAAAATAAAGAATACAAATAAAAAAATGCAATGCAATTGAATTTTTAAAATTAATTAATATTTTTATAAATATTTTTAAATTATTTGCAATTTGAAAATAATCAAGCAGATTGAAGGAATTGTGACCCCCCGCTTTCGGTGTCTTTGTGCGTGAGATTTCATTTTTTATGACATATTGTGTGTAATATGAACACCCTATCATTTTCATTTATTTAGAAATCATCACTGAACTCCAAGATCAAGGTCGAAGGGTTAAAGTTCTTGGTATCCAATGAAAACTCTTCTCACAAGGATTACATATGTGAAGTATGAAAGCCCTAGCCCTTACCATTCAAAAGTTATGGTCAAAGTTAAAGTTTTTTATAAGTACGAAAAATCTCCAAAGTCAAGGTCAAAAGGTCACGGTTGTTGATATCAAATGAAAGGTCTTGCCAAAAAGAATACATATGTGAAATATGAAAATCTTAGTATGTACTGTTCAAAAGTTGTGGCCAAGGTCAAAGTTTTTGAAAAGTAGGTCGAACTCCAAGGTCAAGGCCAAAGGGTTAAAGTTTTTGTATCCAATGAAAGGTCTTCTCACACGAATCACAAATATGAAGTATGAAAGCCCTAGCCCTTACCTTTCAAAAGTTATGCTCAAGGTTAAAATTTTTTCAAAGTATGGAAATCTCCAAGGTCAAAAGGTCAAAGTTGTTCGTATCCAATGAAAGGACTTGTCACGGAGAATATATATGTGAAATATGAAAGTCCTAGTATCTACCATTCAACAGTTATGGTTAAAGTAAAAGTTTGGAATTTTTTTGTTAAAGTGGGTCAAACTCCAAGGTCAAAAGGTCAAATTTGATGGTACCCAAAGGAAGGCCTTATCACATGGAATATACATGTGAAATATGAAAGTCATAGACGAATGAGATTTAATATTCCATCGCTTTCGCGAAAGCGGGGGACAACAAGAGGCCCATGGGCCTTATAGGTTACCTGAACATTATGCAACAACTTTCCAGTGATTTAATTTGATTCATGTTTTAAGCCAGATGCTATGGCTTTCACAATTTTGAAAGAGGCACCATTGATCATCATAACAATACACTTAGCAGTTGCTTAGTTTGTTTACTTAATACCCATAGGCAGGGTGGGGGAACAAAAAATGCATTTCAAGTAATCAGTAATATTCAGCAATACTGTAGATCACTAAATTTTAGCGACACCTTATTTTCGCGAGATAGTCATTGACTCTTGATAAGCGAGACGAAATTTTCACGAATTGAGGTCATTGCTCTATATAATCTGAAGAAATACTATTATACGCGAGAATTAAATTTTCGCGAGCACACTGTCTCGCGTAATTACGCGAAAATAAAGTTCTCGCGAATAAAAAGTGATTTACAGTAATAAGTAATGCCCCTATCACACATGAACCCCTGACCCTTAGGCCTAGATCCACACATTGCACAATTTTTGAAAAGGCACCCTTGCTTTTCAAAAATATTTGATTAATACCAAGAAGCAGATCTCAAACAATTCATCCAGTTTCAATATATAAGTACAACCCCCCCGCCTATGGTACCCCTGACCCTGGGGCCTTGAAATTCACAATTCTGGAAGACTAGGGTCCTTGCTCATCATAATTCCATAGGTAGTTCATCTGCTTAACCCAAGAGCAGAGAAGAAAATTTTCAAAGATTTGATGTATTTTCACTATATAATCAATAGAGCCCCGCCCTATCACTAGAACCCCTGACCCTAGGGCCATAAAATCAAAATTTTGGAAGAGGTATTCTTGCTCATCTTAACTATGTACTTAGTTTATTTAATTCCTAGGAGCAGAAAAGAATTTTTTTCAAAGAATTCATGTATTTTCATTATATAATCAATAGAGCCCCGCCCTAACACCCGAACCCTGGAGCCATAAAATTCACAATTTTGGTAGAGGCACTCTTGCACATCATAACTATGCACTTAGTTAGTTTATTAAATACCCAGGAGCAGAGAAGAAGATTTTCAAAGAATTCATGTATTTTCACTATATAATCTATAGAACCCCACCCTAACACCAGAACCCCTGACCCTGGGGCCATAAAATTCACAATTTTGGTAGAGGTACTCTTGCTCATCATAACTATGCACTTAGTTAGTTTATTTAATACCCAGGAGCAGAGAAGAAGATTTTCATAAAATTCATGTATTTTCACTATATAATCAATAGAGCCCCGCCCTAACACCAGAACCCCTGACCCTAGGGCCATAAAATTCACAATTTTGGTAGAGGTACTCTTGCTCATCATAACTATGCACTTCGTTAGTTTATTTAATACCCAGGAGCAGAGAAGAAGATTTTCAAAGAATTCATGAATTTTCACTATATAATCTATAGAGCCCCGCCCTAACAACCGAATCCTGACCCCAGGGCCATAAAATTCACCATTTTGGTAGAGGCACTCTTGCTCATCATAACTATGCACTTAGTTAGTTTATTTAATACCCAGGAGCAGAGAAGAAGATTTTCAAAGAAAGAATGCATTTTCACTATATACTTATTTAGCCCCGCCCTAACAATAGAACCCCTGACCCTAGGGCCATGAATTTCACAATTTTGGTAGAGGACTCAATGCTGATTACAATCATGCAAACAGTTTGACTGCTTGATGTCCAGGAGTAAAGAAGAAGATTTTTAAAGATTGCATTAATTTTAGTGGTTTTTGCCCCACCCCCAGGCCCCAGGGGGACAGGGACCATGAAATTCAAAATTTTTGTTCCCCTTCACCAATAGATGCTTTGTGCCAAATTTGGTTGAAATTAGTTCAGTGGTTGCAGAGAAGAAGCTGAAAATGTTCAAATGTTAACGGACAACGCACAACGCACGACGACGGACGAAGTTTACTCAGGTGACCTAAAAATGCAAATAAAATGTTATTCAATCCAAATGAAAAATTATGGGATACAAATGAAAATTCTACAATATAAATGAAAAATTTTACAATATATAAATGGAAAAATTGTAGAATATGAATAAAATTTTACAATACAAATGGAAAATTATTCGATACAAATAAACACGAGCCTATCAACTTTTATTTAAACTTTATAAACTTTTCATGTGTACGTGTTTCCGTATTTTGTACGACAAGTACTTTCGTTTTGAGATTTCCTCAATCAAAATGGAAACCATTTCAAGATTCAACGAACGGTAAAAACACTTTTTTAACACACTTTCAAGACTTGAAATGAAAAAATAAAAAACATCTGGTAAACGAGTTTTATTTTAGATGATACTTATTAAATGCTTTTGCATTGATTGTTATGCCCCCCCCCTTTCAAAGATGAGGAGGGGGGCATAATGCTTGCTGCTGTCAGTCGGTCGGTCGGTCGGTCTGCATGTCGGTCTGTCTGTCGGTCCACCATCGGTTTCCCTTCATATTTTTCACAAAGATTGTACATATTGAAATGAAATTTGGTATACAGATCAGTGTTGGTGTTCGATCGGACCATTTTGGACAGAGTTATGCCCCTTGGACTTAGAACAATTCAATAATTTGCAGTCTCCGTTTATTTTCTTCGCAGAGGTTGCACATATTTAAATGAAATTTGGTATACAGATTTAGCATAAGAATATCTAGGTCAGGTACTGTTTTGGGTACGATCGGACTATTTTGGACAGAGTTATGCCCTTCGACTTAGAAAAATCTCAATTATTTGCGGGAGGGGGCATAAGTGTTTTACAAACATATTTTGTATTATGTTTAGAAAGTTAATGATGCAATGTGTTGTGCAATTAAAAAAAATACAGTTTTTATTATATTATAGTTTGCAGTTCAGTGTAAAGTTTCATGTTACGTCACGATCTAGTTGACAGCTGCACTCAAGGTAAATTGTACACGCCTCCTAACCGCAAGCTTTACGACTGGAACTTTCTTCTTATCCCCGATTGCTTGCTCGTGCAACAGACTATTTCCGTGTCAATGTTGATAATTTGAGTTGACTAATGACGTGAATTGTTTACGCTTGCTGCATCTGACGAAAAAAATCGTGACGTAACGTAAAACTTTACACTTAACTGCAAACTATAATATCCGTTTTAGGACGAGGTTGAGGAAAGACCTAATGGAAATGCACAGAAAGTTATTGACTGATCTCAATGACTTTATAATAAAAGATACCGATACCACGTGTCATGAGAAGTGGAAATACCTTGTCAGCAAGGAGTTACACAAAAGTATGGAAAAAATAAAAGACCGATCAGTTCTGATAGACTTCGATGACCTCGAGGCTTTGGGCAAGTTGTTTCCCGGGGATTATCGTGTTCTACATAACATCATTGACAAGTTAGATGTGAGAGCAACAGAACGTATACAACAAACAGAAGAGTTGATGAACGAGAGATACTTAGGTGATTACTAACTACAAATACATGTATGAGCCCCCATCCAAAATCAAATTAATTATCGGCAAAGAGTTCGTTTTACAGTGGCTTTATCTTTTGTTTACTCAGTATTCATCCTCACTTACAATATGATCTTCAGCTGGAAATAATGATATTCAATGCAAATATCTTCACAATACCCACATTTACCCTTGTTTTTAAAATTATCTCATTTTGAGCTAATCTGAACTGAAATCTCAAGTCAGCTTTTCTGGTCACATTTTATCTGAAGTCCGTCTGTCTCTAAACTTTTTTTTTTTTTACATTTTCGACTTCTTCTCCGGAACCACTTGCCTTGGCCAGTTTTAACCGAACTTGCCACAAAGCATCTGTGGGTAAAGGGGATTCAAGTTTGTTCAAATGAAGTGTCACGCCCTTTTTCAAGGGGAGATGATTTAGAAATGGTGAAAAGTTGGTGGCATGACATATATTTTAAAATTCTTCTTCTCGAGAACTACAGGGAAGATAAAACTTATGGAAAACATCCTCAGGTAGTGTAGATTCAAGTCTCTTAAAATCATGGCCCACAGGGGAAGGGGGAAGAGACGAGTCAATTTTTACATAGGAATATATAGATATAATCTGAAAAATCTTCTCAAGAACAGCATATACTCATTATAGGTCATATTTGTATGGAGCATCCTCAGGAATTGTAGATTCAAATTTGTTCAAATTATGCCCCCAGGGGTAGGACGTGGTCACAATGGACGAGCAAAGTCTTATAGGAATATATAGGGAAAATCAAAAAAAAATCTTTTGTCAAGAACAGCAAAGCCATGATTGATCACATTGATATAGAAGTATCCTCAGGTAGTGTAGATTAAGATTTGTTGATGGGGGGATAGGGGTTACCACAATGATAGTTTAAACTTAGAGCCTAGAATATAAAAAAGCCACAGTTTGTCAAAGAAATAAGCAAGCATCCTTTGTTAGTGTATATTCAATTTTGACCAAATCATACTCCTCCCCTTTCAGGGTATGTTGGGGCTACTTATGGATTTAAACTACTCTATACTGAACTGAATTCTGCCTTTTTCCTAGTCACATCTCAGGTGAGCAATGTGTCCATGGGGCTCTTGGATGTGTTAACATCAACTAGGTATTTCAATGCATTTTCAGCTTACATACACCAAAGGCTAAAGTGAGTTTTTTTGATCGAAATGTATTCGCTGTCTGTCGTCGGTGGCGATGTTCTCGTATTTGTCATATATGTTCACCTTCTTCCCAAGAACCACTGGGCCATTTTCAACCAAACTTGACACAGAGCACACGACTTAATTTACTCCTTTTTACACACGGATCTGTACCATTTTATAAATTTGAAATTTTTGAATAAAAAGTGGCAAAATTTTAAGATTAACTTTTCAATAAAGAGATACTTTGAACGTTAATTGTTCCCTTTTTTATCTTATGAATCATTAAAATATCAAAATTAAAGTTTCTGTTGATTTAAAATGCACTGAAAATTAAACGTGCTTGTCAATTCGGAATATTTACCTATATTTAGGAAAAAAGAATAAAAATTTCAAATGGGAGAGGATGCAAGACTAGTTTTATTTAGCCTAGTCCCCTTGAGTATTGTTGGCCAAAAGGGATACAAAATATTTTAGATTTTTTCAGATGAGTGCCATGTCCTTTTACAAATGGGAGGTAATTTAAAAATCTTATCAAGAAGCACTGGCTCAGAAAAGGTTAAGTTTACGTGAAAGTCTTTAACTTGGATTGTTTTGTTCAAATATAATAGCAGCCAAAGGGTAGGATAGGGTAATTAAGAACGATCAAAGTTTTACTTCAGAATACATAGGAAAAATCAAAGTCAGGTTGTTACAACGTGAAAACTAATAATAACGCAATCTATCGTAAATAAACCGAGATCAAAACACAAAATGTAATAAAACAATTTAAGGATTATTACATTTTGCGTTTTTAGGTCACCTGAGTAACTCAGGTGACCTATTGCTATCCGTTTTCGTCCGTCGTCGTGCGTCATGTGTCGTGCGTCGTGTGTTAACATTTGAACATTTTCAGCTTCTTCTCTGAAACCACTGAACCAATTTCAACCAAATTTGGTATGCAGCATCTATGGATGAAGGGGAACAAAATTGTGAATTTTATGGTCCCCGCTCCCTGGGGCTTGAGGGGTGGGACCAAAACCACTTAAATTATTGCAATCTTTAAAAATCTTCTTCTTTACTCCTGGACAGTAAGCAGGCAAACTCTTGGCATGAATGTAATGAGCATTGAGTCCTCCACCAAATTTGAGAAATTCATGACCCCAGAGTCAGATGTTCTAGTGCTAAGGTGGGGCTATATAAATTATGTAGTGAAAATGCATAATTTCTTTGAAAATCTTCTGTGTTAAGTAAACTAACTAAGTACATAGTTATGATGAGCAAGAGGCAGCCTCTTCTGAAATTGTGAATTTTATGGCCCAATGGTCAGGGGTTCTGGTGTGAGGGCGGGGCTCTATTGATTATATAGTGAAAATGCATTTATTCTTTGAAAATCTTCTTCTCTGCTTCTGGGTATTAAGAAACTAACTAAGTACATAGTTATGATGAGCAAGAGTGCTTCTTCCAAAATTGTAAATTCTATGACCCCAGGGTCAGGGGTTCTGGTGTCAGGGCGGGGCTCTATTGATTATATAGTGAAAATGCATTTGGTCTTTGGAAATCTTCTTCTCTGCTTCTGATTATCAAATTAACTAACTTAGAACATAGTTATGATGAGCAAGAGTGCCTCTTCCTAAATTGTGAATTGTATGGCCCGAGGGTCATGGGTTCTAGTGTTAGGGCGCGGCTCTATTGATCATATAGTGAAAATGCATTAATTCTTTAAAAATCCTTTTCTCTGCTTCTGGGTATTAAATAAACTAACTAAGTACATAGTTATGATGAGCAAGAGTTCCTCTTCTAAAATTGTGAATTTTATGGGCCCAGGGTCAGGGGTTCTGGTGTTAGGGCGGGGCTCTATTGATTCTAAAGTGAAAATACATTAATTCTTTGAAAATCTTTTTCTTTGCTCCTGGGTTTTATGCCAGTGATCCAAGTATGTATATTTATGATGAAGAAAAGTGCATCTAACGAAATGGTTATTTTTTATGCCCCCCTGGGTTGGGGGGGGGGATACATAGTCTAAAAATAAATTAATGCTTTGAAATCTGCTCTTTGGTATTAATCAACCATTTTATGATAAAATTTGCAAAATTTTGAAATATGTGGCCCCAGGGTTAGTGGTTCCTTTGGGGTGAGGTGCACAACTGGTTATAAAGTGGAAGTGCATTTTCTCTTTGTCACTCTGATCTACCTCTGGGTATTAAGAAAATAGAGTAAGCATGCTAAGTTTATAATTATGATAAGCAATGGTGCCTCTTTCAAAATTTTGAATTATGAATTTCATGGCCTCTGGTTTAAAACACGAATTAAATTTAAATGTTTGAAAGTTGTTACACAATACTCATGTGACCTATAAGGCCCGTGGGCGTCTTGTTATATTTTGCGCGTTTATTTCTACGCAAAATGTAATATCGGAAAATGTAATACAAATATTACATTTTTTGTTATTACATTTTGCGTCGAGATTAAGCATAAATAAAAATGCAAATGTAATAGCATCCTTTCTGGCTAATTAGGTTAATAATAATTTTCCCATCTTGGATTATATATTATTGCTTTGACGTTGATTCCTGATCTACGAAATATATTATATATGCAAAATGCCAGTTCCATGTCAACGGATTAAATATGATATGCCGATTTCCTGGCTTACAGATAATTGCTATTTTATTCTGTTTAGGTCAACTGAGACCTATTTCTATCTGTTTTCTTCCGTTGTCGTGCGGTGTGAGTCATGCAACGAGCATTAAGCGACTGAGGGGCAGAATGAAAACCAACTATCCTTCTGCCCTGCTGACAAAGCAGATAACATCATTGCCTTTGCTTGTAAGACTCATTATTTAAATTACATTTTAGAGGAACCGGAATTTATTTTTACTATTAATTATCCAACTTATACCTAAAGCTCCCTTTCAAAGGAGAAAATTCTTCAAAATCATGCATCCGTTTTGAATATTTTTAATATTCATAACAACCAGAATAAATCTGAATAACCATATCTTTATTGGATTTCAAAAATTTAAAAAAAAAAAAAAAAAAAAAAAAAACTTACAAACAAAGATACAAAGCGGGTTCCAGTAAATGTTCTACCATGCCTCTTTCTTTACTCCTTACTAAAATATTAACAGTTGTGAAGGAGAAACTTAAGGAATACTGTGCAACAATGTATTTGAAAAGTGGTGTAAATCAAATGTGGATACTTAAAAATTCCAAAATTTGAAATCACAAAATTTTACTAAAATTAACAGCATCAAAACTTACATGTACATGTACTACTTTTCAACTTTATGTACAACCATTCCCCACGATAAATTAAAGTCAGGCTTTTTTTTCATTGACAGCTGCTTTTTCAATAACAAGAGGCCCACGGGCCTTATAGGTCACCTGAGTATCATGTAACAACTTTCGAACAATTGAATTTGGTTCGGCACCCCACCCCAAGGGAACCACTGACCCTGGGGCCACTTATTTCAAAATTTTGGAAATTTTATCATAAATTTTATTACATCATAAATGGTTGATTAATACCAAAGAGCAGATTTCAAAAAACTAATTTATTTTTAGAATATGTAACCCCCCCTCCCAATACCCCTGACCCAGGGGGCATGAAATAAACCATTTTGTCACATGCACCTTTTTTCATCATAAATATATAAACTTTGATCATTGACACCTGGAGCAAAGGAAAAGATTATCAAAGATTTAATGTATTTTCACTCTATAATCAAAAGAGCCCCCCCCCCCACCAAATGGCAAAACCCCTGACACAAGGGCCATGAAATTCACTAAATTGGTTGAGGCACTCTTGCTCATTATAACTATATACTAAGTTAGTTTATTTAATACCCAGGA